TGGGGAAGTGGGCGTTTTTCGAGATTCCAATATGTATAACATTTACATACGTTTATATATCTATAGGGATTTTTTGATGGAAGTTTTAAAAATTCATATTTCCCTTTAGAAAATAAAATACAAATTCCACTTTTATTTGAACACAATTATTTGAATAAATTTAACCAGTAAATAAGAATTAACTTATTTCATATTGCATCCTAACAAATACATAACTGATACATAAAATATTATCGTTTCTAAATCAAAATAGTATTATGTTATTTGATCAATTTTGTATCATCCGGGGTGATGTTATGTATACCAGTCAGGTTTTGAGAGAAAATACATTTTGAGTACTCCGTCACTATATGATCCATTGTTTGCTTGGTCTCTCCATAATCGTACGATAGGTAATTTCCATAATATTATACTATTACTATCATAATTTAAGTCAAAATTGTTTATATTTGCCTTGCTCTATTTTATTCACTATCAACAACCTACGTCTTGGAATATTCATCCCTTTTAATATAGTACAAATGGTATTTTGTTCGTAGCCTTTCCTGCATGTACAAAATCCTTTTTTTATATTTTTTTTTATAATTATACATTTATATATTTTATTATTTCATTTGTATATTTATATCATATTTTAAAATTTTTAAATTCATATAACATGTATCTTAATTTTTAATAATAAAATTTGTTCCTCTTTTTAATGCTTATTTTGTTCAATTGATTACAATTGTATTATATATTTCAAATAGGTCAAACGATTTAATTCCCGTAATCAACCACACACCCTATGATTCTCCACCGTTAAGTTTTGGTGAAACTTTTGAGGCAATAGCAAATCTATTAATGGAACACAACATTGGTTCAGAAAAATGTGTAGGTGAATTCAATATTTCAATCTAATTTGCTATAAAATACATGTTCTTCAACATACTTTTGGTAGTCATTAAAAATGATTGTAAGAAGTATTTGATTTTCGAAATAAAAATTGCCAATAACCGAACAACTTGAAATCCAATAGTTTTTATTGAGTTTTTCTCAAAATGATAAAATTATATTAGCATGGTGTCCATGTATTGGTTAATTTAGATTCTGAGTAGAGCGAGGAATGTAATAGATGTTAATTATTTTTAAATTCTATGTGCAACGAGTTATGTTTTGGTTTTACAATGAGGGTTATTTTATGTTAAATGTGCTGGTTACACATTCAACTGAACTACGCTCAGTATCGTTGTGTCGTTATCAATTCTTTGTCATTTCTTATAGATACACATTCCTCTCTGTATCCTACCTTCCAAACTTCCCATCTACAACAATGTCTGCATCTACGTGCGAAGTATGTCCGTCCTTTTGATTATTATTAATACTATTACTTTTGTTTTTTGTGGCATTAAATAATTTTTTATCAGAAGTTATTCTCATATGCAATAACGATAAAATACATTTATAATTGAGTAATTGAATAATTTTATCTTTTTCAAATAACGTGTATAAGCGGTTTTCACTCAAAATCGTTTTTTGTTTAACAATGTTTTACCGTTTCGAACAGATATAAATTCCTAAAGTTTGTTTCGGATTCAAATTGAAAATTGTATGTTCGGTTAGGCTTTAGAAATCATTGTTTGTAATATAATAGTTAGTAATGTAGTATAATAACATATTAGATGTGATCATTATAGTTAGAGACATGGGTTAAAACGAAAAGATACGGTGAAATACGTTTAAAAAAGATAGAAAAATGAATGTTTTCGTTTAACACTAACACGGGCAAAGCCGTGCGGGATAATCGTCCCAACCGTGAAGGAAGCATAGGGGATGATTTGAGTAATAAAATGCGATATACTTCGCGTTACTTCTACCCAAGAGGCACTGATTTGTAGCGAAATAGGAGTATTACACAGACACTGAACTGTATGGACATGTATACTTTATTCTGGTGAAGTCATGGAAAAAGTCATGGTAATACAAATACATTTTTATATTAGAAATTAGTCGATTAAGAAATTTGATTCAAGAAAAGAAATGGCTCGATCGAGACACCTAGTNGACACTGAACTGTATGGACATGTATACTTTATTCTGGTGAAGTCATGGAAAAAGTCATTGTAATACAAATACATTTTTATATTAAAAAATAGTCGATTAAGAAATTTGATTCAAGAAAAGAAATAGCTCGGTCGAGACACCTAGTAGTTTATATAATATAGGTGTGTTTTAGTATTCGTTAAATAATATATTAAATTAGGATTATTACTTATTCTATACCGCTTTCAGATAAGTATCTATAAGTATAATATATAACTTTGATTTTTGTTTTTTTAGATTTGGATTCCGTATGTGAAGATTACGGATTCGAGAATAATATATAATATTTTATTTTTCCTACACCATTATGTTCCGGCTTTTCTCGGCGATTCTTATTTGTGGTGTTCGGGGAAAAAAACAAAGTACCTAAATATATTTTTACTTATTTATATTTATCTTACTAAATGTCATAATATCGTGATAGTTTATACTTTTAGGATATCGAAGATTCTTATCATATAAATATTGTCGCTCCTTTTGATTTTGCCATGCAATTGGACTTAAAGTCCGTAACTAAAATAAATGTTTTAACCATATGATTTAAGCAAAATGCACATCTAAAATAATTCAAATCTTTTATATAAGGCCTTTTTTCTTGAGATTAATTTTAAAAATATTGAATCGTGTTATGTTATTTGTTCTTCCTTACTAGCGACTGCTACTTATAGTTATTACTATAACTATAAGTTGTAGATTTATTGAAAATTCACAATTCTTATTATATTAGAAATGGCGACTTTATGATAAGCATCAGCTTTATCTATTTAGACAATTTTAAATGGTTATTTTGTCATGCTATATACTGTAGGTATTTTAAAATTCGTATTGTTTTTTAATTGATATGTATTAGGTTAAAAAGTATTTCAATATTACGAATTAAGGTTAGGAAAAATATAAATTAATGACAAAACTCTAAAAAGTTACAAGGGACATTAAAACTATTTTTTTCGTTGGTCTTTTCGGTGCAGTGCATTATATTTATACAAAAAATAACTTTAAATTTATTTTAACAGAACGGTAAGACTGTATAGAACACTGAACACCATGATGAAAGACTTAGAATTTTTCGTCTTCCGACATTTTCATTTCGATGACACTCGTTTACAAGAGCTGATTGCATCGCAGAGCGATATGGACAAAAGTTTGTTCAACATGGAAATATCCAATATTGTATGGCAAGATCATTTTCTAAAAAGTATTAAAGGATTCAAACGTCATATTCTCAAAGAAAACGAATATAGCCCGGAAGCTAAACAGAGATATAACAAGTAATTATATCTGTCTTCGTAGTTTATATTTCACGTAAAAAAGTAAATTTATTAAAACTAGGGTTTTAAATTTTTTTTTTCAGAATCTGGAATGCTTATTACACTTTAAAAACATTTTATTATGGTTTTCTGATATATTTGATAATTTTAATATTAAAATATATTTTTTATTGATTTAATTTTATGTTTTAAAAAGAGTTATTAAACAATAAAGGTTTTTTTTTATGAAAATAAAAATTGTTTTTACAAGAAGTTTCGATTAGTTTTTATTATCGCATAGGTGAATGTATTGTTATTATTATTATATTAAAAAAAAAAAAAATTATTTTTCTTTTGTGTATTATATGCTATTATAAATGACAATATATGACGATAATAATTGATAATAAATGGTAAATAATTAAATGGGCATAATATATTTTCTTTGATAATATTTTTTTAATATTGTACCGACTTTCTCGTTTTTCTTGCCTTATTCCTGTCTTTTTTATGGCTTTTCACATTTTTTGGGAAAAATCTTGGCAAATCGAAAAGTGATCTCGTTTATGTACCTCTCTAGTAAGATTTTCTTTCAGAAATTGTACTATCATTGTAAATTTGTGCAATTGTTCCCAACCGCCGATCGAGTTTTAAATAGATTATGGATGTTCGGGAACATGGTAATGAGGCCCCAAAGACTTCTAGACGTATTCCCCATATAGTGACATTAAATAATGTGTTTTTTTTTGTCAAAATTGGAATAATTGGACCTTATTTTTTAGAAAACGAAATAGGCCAGATAGTTACGATGAATTGTGAACGTTACGTTGCTATGCTCTAAGATTTTTCCCCCTACTTGGAGGAAAATGAAATAGACACTGAAAATATTTGGTTTCAACAGGACGGCGCCACTGCTTGTTTCATTTTTAAATTTTAAAATCGATCGGTGGTTGGGAACAAACGCGAAGAAAGTCCGGATCGCGTACGGATTACGCGTTGTGTAGCCACGGTTGGCCCATTGTTTCGAAAATATGTCTCTACGGCGAACGAAAGATGTTTGTTACGCCATTGTGATATTTTGACTTAACTTTCTGTTACGTACTATACAATGCGAAGTTCGGCAATATTGTTCGAGTTCGAGTTAAGTGGACTACCCACAGTCGTCAAATGAAGGTGTACGATGTAGTCATAGTGAAGGAAGAGTGCATCCCACCGACTAGATGGAAGCTTGGTAGAGTCATTCAACTGCACNTTACGCGTTGTGTAGCCACGATTGACTCATTGTTTCGAAAATATGTCTCTACGGCGAACGAAAGATGTTTGTTACGCCATTGTGATATTTTGACTTAACTTTCTGTTACGTACTATACAATGCGAAGTTCGGAAATATTGTTTGACGCCCCTCTTCTAAAGCTTATCTCAAAGGGGCTGTTTTTGCTCCGGCACTCTGTATAACTATTCAGCCACGACAAATATACATTATGTAAGACAATATTTAATTATACTATTATGACATATGTTTTTATGCAGTTAAAGTTTTTGTTTTAATGCATGTATTTTTTTTCAAAAAAAACTGAAATTCCATACAAAAATGATAGTGTACAAAAATTATTTTGTCACTCCCTAGCGTTATGTATCACTCGCTATAATATTAATTTTTTTAAAAAACCAATATAATTCAATAACTAAGACTATAAGAGTGTGCCTGTTTCAAGAGATTTTCATTTTAGGGATGTTATAATAGTTAATAAATTTAAGAATTCGACTTCTATTTCCGGTGACATTCGATGTCTAAATGTCACGAAATTCGCAGAAGTTCATATTTCGAGTCTCTATGAATTTTTTTAATATAATATTACAACAAATAAAAAAATTGAGAAAAAAATAATAGCATTATTTTCATAAATTTCCCATTTTTTTGCGGTTTGTCCTCGTTTTTTCCAGATATTATAAAAACCGCTTGGATATTAAAAAATAACCTTCAAAAAGTACCATCTGGACAATATTCCCCTTAAGATATGATGGCGAGCAAAAAATCAGAGCAAGATTTCTGGTAGAATTATCGTACAAATTATAAAAAAAAAAAAAATAAATTAGATAACACATTATTAAAATCAATAAATTCATCGCTACACTCAGAATCTAAATTAAGCTAATATTTTTAATAAGAATATAATTTGTATTTTATTTATATTTACAGGTCAAACTAATTTATCAGATTAATAATGATTTTTATTACCCATGGCCCACGAATTATATTCATAATACCTACTTGTGTGCCACACAATACACATTTCCTAAATTGTAAAAGATATTTTGAATAAAAGTTTATGACCGATACGTAGCCTTTTATAATTCGTTGTTTAAGTTATTTGTTATGTAAATTGATGAATGCCTAATATGTATAATACACTTATCATAATACTCCAGGTGACGCATTAATTCATTTATTTATTTTTATTTTATATAATATCTATTTACTAGTATTAACAAGTTGAATAATTTTGTTTTTAATTTATTATTTTATTGTCAGACAGAAAAGTTCAATTGACAGTATTCGACAATAAAATTGCATATGATCAAACTCTAACGACCGTTGGAATCTTGATTATTGATAATATTGATAGCTAATACTCGATACAAAACTTGTAGTTTTTAAAGCTCGTGCATTACGATACTTTCAAGTTTGACACGTCATTAAGTCATAATGAACATAAATCCGTAAATATTACTATGAACACCTTAAAAAAAGTAAATGGAAATTCAGTCACTCTTGTGTAGTGAAAGAAACGCTCGCGTAAATATTAGTAACAATAATAAATCCTAAAACTAAATTGTCATTCATATAATCCATGAATGAACAAAAAATATAAAAGTATAGGTCGTAATGAAAATACTTAAAAATACATAATTTACCCCCAACGAGTTGAATTTTCAAAAATCAAATCAGGTTTTTTTTACCAATATTTAATCAAAAGCGTAGTTCAATCGATTTGAAATTAAAATCCAATACAATTTGTGGAGACAATGA